CGGATCACGTGTCTACGGGGTCAACCAGAGTGCCATGGCCCAGGGGCTACCCTGCAACTGGGCTGACACTCTCCCACTTACCCTTGTGGGAGCCCCCACGACACGCTATGCAAGGTGCCCGCACTAACCCAGAGCACACAAAGCCCCGCTAGGGCTGGTACTACACCCGCCTACGGGGTGTACGCGATGACGGTGCATCGCAAGCCACGGCCCTCTCGGGCCGGCACCATACAGTGACATCCCTGATGTCACTACACATGTAATAAATGACTCATTAATTGGGTATTCCTTTAATCGGGCGAAGATCGTTTGATATAGATGAGGTCAAATTACGCGCTTGAATCTGTTGTATCTGTAAACAGTTTCATCCGTACTCTTTGGTTCTATTCGGTAAAGTCACGTAGGTAAAAAATAAAACAACAAAAATCACGACGTTTCGGCCACAACACAAGCGGCCTTCATCAGGTGAAGGGACCAGACTGTCTCGAAGACAGCGCTGGAGTGCAACACAGCCAAGCTCAGACCGCGACCTTTAAGCTGTGTGAGAGGCATTAAGGTGCCTTGACAAAGGAATTAGCATAAAAATTAGTATTTAATTGGCCGACTTAGCATGATGAACGGTGTAGAGGTGGTGTACATGCAGGTGAACATGCCAGTTGGCAAGGGGGGGAGGGGGAGTTTACCTATTGATGGTGTGAAAAGGGAATTTTAAGAGCTGCGAAAGTTTGGGGTACCACTACTTGAAAAAATATACTGTACCATTGAAAATTAGTTTAATGTTTGGTTCGATTTAGAACATCTTTCCAATGGTTGCTTAATTTGAAACCATCTTCTCGGTTGAAATTGTGTCTGTGTTTGTAGATCTGAATTGCCTTGTGAACAAATCTCTGTTAAAAACCCGTGGGTTTGCAAAGAACCTTGGTATCGGAGAAAATTATATCGTGATCACCCACAGCGTTGTAACAGTGATCAGCTACGGCAGAAGAATTCGTTCTGACGTGTTTCAAATCTGATTTGTGTTCGCAAATTCGTTCAGAGACATGTCGCTTCGTCTCCCCGATATAGCAATCACCGCAGGTACAACTCAATTTGTAAACCCCGGGATACTGTAAGTCAGGGATGACATCCTTCACGGATGGGATCAGATCACGAATTTTGTGTCTGGTTCCTTCACCTGATGAAGGCCGCTTGTGTTGTGGCCGAAACGTCGTGATTTTTGTCGTTTTATTTTTTACCTACGTGACTTTACCGAATAGAACCAAAGAGTATGGATCCTTGCAGTCACGAAATTTTCAAATCTAGAACTTTCATCCGTATGTCATAGCAGGAAATGTGTTTTTCTTCAAGCACGTTGCCGTTGCTTTTCAACGTCAAATTCGGCTTCCCAAAGGTGCCAACCTTCATTGCATCACGTGGATGATCACCGATTCCGGCAAAGAGAATGGAACAGAAGCTGCGAAAAGTGCGCAGAGGGGCTCATGCTTTGGACTGACACTGAGAGGCGTCAAGGGGCCGTCCATGAATGACGTCACACACCTGGGGAGGGGAGGTCAGACATTTGTGACGATGTGTGACAAGGGGTGGAGGGGGGGTTTGAGAAATGTGACGTCACATAAAAATGCGCAACTTTAAATAAATATAAACAATGGAATTGTTATAACAACACCAATTTTGATTAATTTTCATTATTAACTATTTGATTATTATATAGCCTTAGCTCTTTCGGTAAAGTCACGTTGAAGGGAAACAATAAAATAATAAAATATATATTGTTTTATATAAGAATATGAATTACTGCAGTCACGAAAGCTTTAAATCAAAACTATTTGATTATTTAAATTTACTAAGGTCACCTTTTTAATTTATTCCATGAAGGAGCATTTTGCTTCTCCATGGGGGAATGGAGAAGCATACATTTTGTAAATTTTTTGAATGATTGTTATGAAACATTTTGATTTTAATTGTTCTACCAGGGCTTTTCATTCTGTGGAATGAATATGTGATTGTTATAATTGTACTCTCCATTTTGCTTCGTTCTACTACTAAGTATGTTTTTATAGTTATAATTACTTTTAATATTTTATAATTATAAGATAATTTCAATATAATATTTTGAACATCTCCAGTTTTAGTTAGACGTTGAATATTTTCAATTTAATTGTATGCTCAATTTCAGCTTCCCAACGCCTCCTTTTTAATACGTGTTTTCTCCTACAACATCAGAGTGCAGCGCCACATTAAATGCGCACTACAATGACAATAGTTTAAAGCGATTTGAAGCATGTTTTATTTTCAAAATGGAAATATGTGTTTTTTTTTGGGGGGGGGGGGTGGCAGAGCTTTGTGACGTCATATTTCAGGGGGGGGTCTGACTTTTTGTAACGCCGTGTGACGAGGGGGGGGGGTCAAAAATCGTCCAAAATCGCGTGACGTCATTTATGGACGGCCCCCAAGAGGCAATGGGTCTATGAGCGGGACCCATAACGAGAAGAAACGACGGCCGATTGACGGAAACTGATGACGGGAATGGCAGCCAGAGGAGGTAACGCGCCCGGGAGGACGACGAGAGCGGAGGTGGAGCGACGAGGTGGGTCCACGTGGACGAGACGGACTGAGGCATCCCAGAACTGTGAGGTACGCAGTGGCACGGGGGGAGACTTCCATCCAGCAGTGGATAGACAGTGGCTGCTGATGATGATAGCGATGCCATCGACGGACACTTTATGCTGCATTTACAATACAAAGACGATGATTATTGTGACAGCGGGGACAGTGGCGAGTGACATCCAAAGCAGTTCTGGATCGGAAAGGTGAAGTATGGGTCAAACATTCCCCCGTGACCAACGCGGTGTGGGGGAGGCCTTCATCCAGCAGTGTAATTGATCAATGGTGATATACAGTACGTAAACAACACACACTATGGCATATTGTCGCTCTTAATATATTCTCAAAAATATTATCGTTTCATACATTCTAAAAAATATTTTCACCGAAAGAAAGAGGAAGCGTTCGCGATGACAGAGTGGGGCTACTGTTCTTTGGTTCTTTCGGTAAAGTCACGTAGAATGAGAATAAAATAATAAATTGATAAAATAAAATAACACAATAATATTCTCACGACGTTTCGGCCACAACACAAGCGGCCTTCATCAGGTGAATGGACGAGACTGTCTGGTAGGACAGCGCTGGAGTGGGGCTACTCTTCAAGGCCACGTCCCAGGGTCTGATGTCCACCTTAGAGCCGACACAAATGGGAACTTTGTGCGATTGGTGAGTTGGCCACACACACATCGAGTGTGGCCAATTATTGAAAAGTATCAGAGTGTGCGCGTGCGTGTGTGCCAGGGGTGGTAGGGGAGCGGTGGCCTCGTGGTTAGCGCACTGCGCTACGAACCCGGCAAGCCGAGTTCGATTCCCGCTCGCGGCCGACACCAGTGAACTGAACCAGTTCTGGGCCTGAAATGAGTACTGCACCTGGCGTGATGAGTAAACATCGCCACTCGGGAGACAAAGGCGGCCGGACGTGGTGCTGGCCACCCACCCCGCCGCGTGCCGTGCCGGCCTTCATATGTGCTGGCAAAGAGCACTTGCCCTCGCAGTCTGTTCAAGCCTACACGGGGGGAACTTTGTCTGTGTCTCTGGGGGTGATGTTCCTTTCCGTTTCGTGGGGCCACGGGCGAGGTAGCGTCCACTGCTCGGGGGCGGCGGCGCCAGGGGGAGACGAACGGGGATGGAGAGAGAGAGGACTAAAGGGATGGGGTTCGCGAGCGGACCGATCGATGCTCGCGTTGACCCTTGGGGATCGAGCCGTGGGGTTTTTAGACGGGAGGATTGACGGCTGGACGTGGGCCCCCAACGCGTGACGGCCCGTCGAGTTCCATTCCGACTTTGCTCACCATCATGGCCATGGAGTTGTTACACGCGACAGCGAGGCCACCGAGAGACCGTGGCATTCCAGATCCGCATTATCACGCCGTGTCAACCCACACGGTCCATACTGCGTGCAGTCGTTACAATACGGGCGACACATTTACGTGTCTATTTATCTTTGTGTTTCTCCCTTGTGATGGGACTTTGCAGGATGAACGTTGAGATTTATAAGGGCACTAGGGGAGACCAATAAGGTCTGCACTGGTCTGTAATAAGGTAGGGGGCACTGATAAGGGGTTGACAGGAATGGTATTTAAACACCACTACCAGCACGGCTGGGGGAGGAGGCATTGAGTATCTGCTAAAGTCTCAGCCACCCTTCAAAATTATTACAATCAAGTCAAAACGAGCGGTAAATCATCATATGTACAATTTCAAGCGTGCTTTTTTACCATGATATATGTGTATATACTTGAATATACTTGAATACGAGGATTATTCCAGCCCGAGTAGATAACTGCACATTTTCAATCTAAATGTAGATTTTATGTTTTTATGTACGTGGATGTATACAAAACAGAGGCAGCGCAGACTCACACAGATGAACAAACAAGTGCAGCGTAAAATTTTGATTTAAAGCTTTCGTGACTGCAGTAATTCATATTCTTAGTTCTTTCGGTAAAGTTACGTTGAAGGGAAACAACTAAATAATAAAATATATATAAAACAATAAAAATTCTCACGACGTTTCGACCATAACACAAACGGTCGTGAGAATTTTTATTGTTTTATATATATTTTATTATTTTGTTGTTTCCCTTCAACGTGACTTTACCGAAAGAACTAAGAATAAGTGCAGCGTAGCTTACAAAAAATATACAAAGTAGGAAAAGTGTCGTCTTTACCATGACGTGTTCTATCGAGAGAGAAACATATTTACGTCCTCTAGTGTTGCAATTATGCAATAACCTCGTGAATTACAAAAGGTTACAAGTGAAAATAACCACGGTGATTTTGACTGTCGCTCAGAGGAGAGGTATTCATCTCAGTAACAGCAACCTCTGCCCGTCCTTGTGTTTAATTATCCCGTCGTCAACGTCACGTAAGCAGTTTATAAATTCACACAAGCAGCAACTTAACGCATTTATTGATGGGCGATGCGTATATGAGCGTGCGTACTTAAACATGATCGCAATCGGTGAGGCGTAAGCGGTTCGCCGCTTCTCACCACGGATGCTGCAAGAACGGTTACCCGGCTCCCGCACATTGACGAGGCCTTGCTGACGATTCAACCCCTTCGCGAATACGCGACTCCCCACGGACTTGGAGATTTGTCTCATTTGATCCAATAATCGATTAATTTGTCTTGTTTAAAGTGTCTGTCTTACCCGACTTTCCTGTACTGCCTCAATCATTCCATCGGCCTTTGTATATACATTTTCATTCACCGTATAATATTTTCTGAATGCACGATTTGATGCATGTGCCGTTTACGTAATAATCTATTCTGATCGACGATGTGCTTCAATGATTGTTGTTCTGTCATGGCTAACCAATGAACATTAAAACCTGCTCTGACTTGTACGGGGGCTGAACTATACGACCATTTGCTCTTTTTTTCTAGGGGACACATACTAAAGCGCCATCAATAACGGCGGGGTTCTACACCAGGGGCATGAGTACAAAGATTTACCTCATAAAATCTGGCAGGCAGAAATTGTAGTATGATGCAAAATGTTGTAAGATAAAACACAAACAAATTCGAAGGAAATATGCGAGTCTTAGCACGATTGCCAATTTGGGGGCGTGGCAGGAGTTGCTAGGGATTATGTAATCACTTCCGCTGCGCCGGCCAATCAGCCGCCAGGAAACATCTCCATGCAACATGACCGCCGTGGCATGATCACTCCGTGCACTTTAACCAGTCTGTTGCTGAGGTAGGTATATATATATTGAATGTTTATTATATTCATTAATGTTATCAACATGAAATTGTTCATGTAAATAATTATGCCGTATTATTTTCAGTTACATTTATTTCACTTTGACAATCGACGTGTGGATGATCCTGACCACCACCCCAGTTCTCTCCTAACTTGACGTGGCTTATTGTCTTAACTGCTTCATTAAACCGAAGTGATGACTAGCCTTAGATTGCACGATTACCTATAACTGTGTAAGAGGTTCTGCAGTCACGTCCCAGATAAACATAGCTTCAATAATTCTTGGTCATCAATGGAAATGATCTTAACACTGAGGAAGGAAATTCTACGTTTCTCTTATACGGAAGAATGTGCATTCACAGCCTGTTCCGCTCGCCGTTACCCACGGGGAAACTCCGGGAGAGGTGGCTCAGACCCTCGGGGTGATGCACACTCTGTAGCGAGCGGGCTTCAGCACAAGGGAGTAGATCGGGGTGGGGTCTGGCGGCGGCAGGCCCTGTGGAGATGCGATGGAGAGGTTCTGGAGCAGCGTCGAGAGGAAGATGAAGAGCTCCTGCTGAGCCACCGTATCTCCGAGACACCGGCGCTTGCCAAGACCGAAGATCTGCACTTTCTCCGTCAGCTCCTTGTTCACTTCGCCGCTTTCGCTCGACAAGAAACGGCCCGGATCGAAGCTCTCAGGATTTGCCCAAATAGCCCTGCGCAAGACAACAGTGCTAGTACAGGCACACGATTGTACTCCGGCGACGGTAATAATCGATAATTATTTGTTTTTGATAGAGCGCCTTTCACACACCGGAGCATCTCGGAGCACTTAAGATGACGTAAGCGGCGCACAACACTTTCAAAAGGCACCCCTAGTGGCAGCCGTCCCCGTGTGGAACAAGGTGACTGCATCTGGTCTGCAAGTGGGCGTGAGTCTGCCACTAGGGGTTGTGTGTGCCCAATTAGTATTATGCGGGTAATTAAAAAGATGCAAATTTGGTCCATTATGCCAGCGCACAATGGCCTATTCTTTTCGAATGACATCAGGAATATACTCTTTGGTTCTATTCGGTAAAGTCACGTAGGTAAAAATAAAATAACAAAAATCAGACGTTTCGGCCACAACACAAAGTGGCCTTCATCAGGTGAAGGGACCGGACTGTCCAGAGGACAGCGTTGGAGTGAAGACAGCCAAGCCCAGGTCGCGTCCTTTAAGCTGTGTGGGAGGAAGCAAAAAACGCCTTGACAAAGGAATTAGCATAAGATGATGTACTGGACCGGCACGGTGTACACCTGGCCCTGAAGAGAAACGGATACTCTGACCGTACCATCCGCCAAGCTGTTTCTCCCTCCATACAGAAACAACCACTTGATACTCCGGGCAAAACCATCACACTACCATATATAGCAGGCGTTACTAAAAAGATCTCCAAAATTCTAAACAAACACAAGATCCTGGTCCGGTTCAATACAGTACACAAAATCCGTGACCTGATCCCATCCGTGAAGGATGTCGTTCCTGACTTACAGTACCCCGGGGTTTACAAATTGAGCTGCACCTGTGGTGACTGCTATATTGGGGAGACGAAACGATATGTCTCTGACCGAATTCGCGAACACAAATCAGATTTGAAACACGGCAGAACGAAATCTTCTGCCGTAGCTGATCACTGTTACAACGCTGTGGGTGATCACGATATAGTTTTCTCCAATACCAAGGTTCTCTGCAAACCCACGTGGTTTTATCAGAGATTTGTCCACGAGGCAATTCAGATTTACAAACACAGACACAATTTCAACCGAGAGGATGGTTTCAAATCAAGCAATCATTGGAAAGATGTTCTAAATCAAACCAAACATTAAACTAATTTTCAATGGTACAGTATATTTTATCAAGTAGTGGTATCCCAAACTTTCACAGCAGCTTATTTCCCTTCACACCAACATTATGTAAACTCCCCCCCCCCCCCCACCGTGCCGGTCCAGTACATCATTTTATGTTAATTTATTTGTCAAGGCGTTTTTTGTTTCCTCCCACACAGCTTAAAGGACGTGACCTGGGCTTGGCTGTCTTCACTCCAACGCTGTCCTCTGGACAGTCTGGTCCCTTCACCTGATGAAGGCCACTTGTGTTGTGGCCGAAACGTCTGATTTTTGTTATTTTATTTTTTACCTACGTGACTTTACCAAATAGAACCAAAGAGTATGGATCCTTGCAGTCACGAAAGCTTCAAATCTAGAATTGACTTCAGGAATCTGTAAAAGTCCACTGTGAAGCAGATGGCATTATATCTTACCGCTCATAAACCCGCAGTACTAGCCAGGGCCACCTGCCCGATTATAACCCTGGACCTGTGCAACGAGCAGCGAGCGCGCTACCGCTGGGTCATGTCACCGCCCCAGTGGTGTGGGGATTCCGATGGGAAGTCGGGCGACTGGGACAGGAACATCGGAAGACTCGGTTGGACAAAACCTCACAGGTTGGCAAAGGAGGAGCGAGCGGATGAAGGGGGGGGGGGGGTGGAGTGAATAAGGAGCGAGTTACACGAGAGAGAGTTATGGGAGAGAGTGCGTTTTGGGTGAGAGGGTGGCGGAGACAAACGCAGAGCCGTCGCGGAGGCAGGCAGACGCGCCCCGGACCATGTCTGCCATCGCCTACGCGTGCGTGCACACGCGCGCACCACTGAACATACGCTCGCCACGCAGTGTACACAGCGAGATACGGTGGAGGGTCGCCCCACCGGTGTCTCCCTCGCCTGATGTGCTGGAGGTCGTGGGTTCGATCCCGGCCCTGACGCCTGCTGCTGCTGTATATTTGGAGTTTGCGTGTCTCTCTCTCTCTCCCTGTGGTCACGTGGAATTTTTCCCGGGTCCTCCGTTTTTTTTCCCTCCAAATTTTGAATCAACGTCACCACGCGTTCAGAGTATTTGGCTGCTGCAAAATGTCCACGCGATGAGCCACTTCGTTGAGCTTTCATTTGTGGCCAGGTCGCTTCTGAAAAAGAGCTTACGTAGCTTAGTGGGCCTCGCCTGGTAAAATAAAAAGTCTACGCATGCGACACGGCACCCCGGCGTGCGTCGGCGCGCTGCCCTGTGCTGTCGCGTCAATGCAGGCATACGTACGGGTCGTGGTTGATCTGGTACTGGTTGATGAACACGCACGTGTCCCGCGGAATGAAGAAGCCGTCCAGCACCACGTCCTGTGTCGTGCTGCAAAAAGGCAAAAAGCACAAATGCGATCCTTCTGATGGGAACATCCAGGTTAGGTTCTGTCAACGTCCAATAAGCACACTGCGTATGTTCGCCGTTTCAGAATAAGTGTTAGCACATTATCATTGAGCTAAAGTTCATGTTTGCAAGGGATTTACAACAATAATATTTTACAGCCCTTTGTCAAGCAACTGCCGGATTAAGGCCTCTATATACCGTGTCCGTCACGCAGGTTGTTTGACCATACTTCACCACGCTGGTCAGCGTGGGCTTGGTGAATGGGGCAACCATGATCCGTTCAGATATCACTCTGTGCCACTGATGACAGCCGTGGTCGGGAATCAAACTCAGGTCCCAGGATTCGCAGCGCAGTGCCGTAACTACTCCATCACCACTCCACCCCTCACGTTGAACTTGTTTGTGGCTTAACTTGTTTCGCTTTAAAAAAATGTTTAACTTTTGTTTAACTTAACTTCATCTTTAACGTGTGCCAAAGTGTAGATCTCCTCTGCCGCGTTGCTGTTCTGTATCTGTGCTGTTTCTGCTTCCCCTGTTCCCTCGCCCTCAAAGAAGTGAGCGACTTTGAGTCTCGATTCCCTCTCGCCGGGGCCAGAAAAGGTCCCGATGGATTTCTGTGCATGGTGCCGTCACCGGCTCAACTCTGCAATCTGCCGGCGAGCAACATGAGGAAGGTTCGTCTGGAGTGTCACTGTCGTCGCAATGCGATTCTAAAAGTCACCATTCTCGCGGGAGCGGCCTTTGAATGAATCAGTATGGTAACATTCGTGTGGGTTGCTGGGACAATAATAACAGGGTACAATTATTTCTGTTATTACTATAATTATTTCTGTATTTGTTTTTAACCAGCCTAAATGGTGGGATTGTTTATGTCCCGTTGCAACCCCGTTAGGTTTGTGTGGCAGCAGGAATAGGTCAACGTGCGAGGTCAAGATGCTGAAAGGGTTCAGTCGGTACTCGTAAATCTTCTCGTCATCATTGCTATCTGAGCTCACCTCTAACATTTATTTATGTGGCCGTGAACGTAAAAGGGCATTGTTATTAATACTTCATATGTTGCATTTTGACTCTTACACATTATCACGCTAGTTTACCCAGGAAAGCCTCACTGAGTCTCAAGACTCTTTTTCAGGAGGGTCCTGCCAGGTTTTCACAGTGCAAAGTGAAGCTGCTGCTGTGATCCTAAATCAGTGATTTGCAGGTATTTTTTCATCATTGGGACGTTTGGCCAATAACAGTTACATTATAAGTGCGTGTGTTTCGCTAGGGAACTTAACAGGAGAACCAGGAAGAAACCTATGCAGAACAGGGGGAGAACATACACACTCCACATAAGATATAAACCCCTTTATAGCTTTGTATTGAGTTCAATTGATTTGCAGACGTTGACTTGGTGGCAACACATTTATTCAACTCAAACACACGGGGTGACTTCCCCTTAACAGAATAACAACCCATGGTGGTGACCACCAGGCTAACTACACTAGTTACCACGTGACTGGTGTAGTTAGCCTGGTGGTGACCACCAGGCTAACTACACTAGTTACCACGTGACTGGTGTAGTTAGCCTGGTGGTGACCACCAGGCTAACTACACTAGTCACAACGTAACTAGCGACTACTTACCAGGACCACAGCTCGGGTCCAGGTCCACGTGTTGGAGACTCGTTGAATGGAGAACGTAGACGAAGGTTTATTCAGGATGAACAACAACAACCCCGGTCCCTCTCGGGACCCGGCTTTTATTCTCTGTGGCGTGGCCGGTTCCGCCCTTGGCCACGACCACTTTCTAGAACCCTCGGGAAGGATCTGGGTCCCAACCACGTGAACACCTCTAGCCCCAACTTAGGGGCCCCTTTGTAGACTGGTCACGTGTACTCCCGGGTCAACCAGAGTGCCATGGCCTTGAGTAACCTCATCCCTCGGCCGGCACTCCCACACACCTTGTCCTGTAGGGTCGGAACTGCACGCAAAGCGTGGTGCCATCTAGAGCTATCAACCAGCGCTCACCGGGCCCCTCTAGGGCCGGTACTACACCCAAACCACTGTGGTATCCGCGATGTCGTAACACCGCTACAGCGTGCCTCTCTAAGGCCGGCACTGCACATTGACATCCTGCGATGTCGCTACAGCTTTAACATACTTTTTGGGCAAGTGCTGTTAGCGAGCACCTATGAAGGCCGACATGGCACACGAGGGGCTGGGTGGCCACCCCCACCACGCCTTTGTTTCCTCAGTGGCGGTGTTTACACAACGCACCAGGGGACTCATTTGAGGCTGAGCCAGCGTAGGATAACTCCAGGACCGGTTGAAATAACCGTCACTGATGTTGGCCGCGAGCGAGAATCAAATTCGGGTTGCCGGGTTCATAGCGCAGAGCGCTAACCACTGCGCCACCGCTCCCCAAACTCCAAAGGCCACCTGTGTAGCCTTAACAGACTGTTGGAGCAAACACCACAAACTCACTCACACTCAGTCACTCACTCACCAACAACAACAACCGCCATTCGCCACTAAGTGGCGGTGACGTCACCACAACGCTTGTGCCAGGCTATGTGCACCTTGAGGCCACGTGAAGTGTCAAACGCCCGCTGGCAGGAGGTCACGGGGCAGACCCAGGTGCCACGGGTTGACTTACTGAGATGACTGACTGATGCACCACCTGTGCTCCCTACTGTGCCAACCTGCTGTGCTTTAGCCACCCGGCGCTCCGCTCATTGTTGTGAGTGTCGCTCCTCCGCCCTCCATTGTTGTTAGAGGGTGACTGCCTCCAACTGCCCAGCAGCGTCTTTCACGAGCCTCCTCCACAGAGGCCGATCTTGACACCGCTGGTACCAGTCATTGGCAAGTCCACTCAGCTCCACATCCTCCTGTACCACATCACTCCATGTTCTCCAGCCCGTGCCACGCCCGTTTAGCCCCCTCTATCCAGCCGAACAAAAGCTGTTTAGGCATGCGGTGACTGGGCATGCATGCTACATGACCCAGCCAACGCAGCCTTGCCTGCCGGAGGAGCTCACCGATGGGACTTTGCCCAGATCGTTCAAGGATTTGTGAGCTCCTCACACAATCCAGAGAAGATGCTTTAATAGGGGGGTCCACGTTTCACAAGAGTAGAGAATGGAGGGAATGAGCGTGGCCAAGAAGACTTGAAGCTTTGTGCGGAGTGACAGACCAGGTAGCTTCCACACAGGGTTACGCAACCGACGAAAAGATAATGCCGCTCGACTGATTCTGAGTGAGACCTCTGCTGTCAAACCGGAGCCAGTCATGAGCACACTGCCCAGGTATGGGAAACTCTCCACTCTCTCCAGAACTGCCCCATCACCGATTGGGAGTAGTGGGAGTGGGTTGCCCGATGATACAAAATACCCAGGCAGGTGCTTAGTTTTGGTGGGGCTGATAGTAAGGCCCCACCTCTTAGTGGCACGCTCCAGTTTCAGCAGCAGCGCCTCCAACTCCTCCTCTGAGTGAATGACAATTACCAGATCATCGGCATACATAACGTGGTTGACCAATAGGGAGCCATCCCTTGACCGCACCCGGGCATCGATCAGCCTCCCATTGTATCTGTATCAGATGGAAATTCCTTTGATACAGCCATCAAAGGCTTCATAAACTACGTGGCTGAAAAAGATGTTAAATCATGTGGGAGCCAGATGACATCCCTGTCACACCCCAAGGTGAACAGGGAATGGATCCGACTCCCAGCCACGTAGTTTTACCCGGGCCCGCTCACCATCATGAAGGTCCTTAATGATCGTGAGCAGAGGGTCAGGGACTCCGAAAGCACGAAGAACAACCCAGAGCCCAGGCCTACTGATGGTATCATAGGCCTTGACCAGGTCAATAAAGCAGAGATGTCGGTCTTGTTGGAATTCGCTACACCTCTGCTGTAGCAAACGGACAGAAAATATGGCATCTGTGCAGGACCGCCCTTTCCTGAAACCACATTGAGGCTCCGCAAGCCTCTCCTCAGCGTGCCTGGCAAGGCAATGTTGAATAATCCTTGCCAGGACCTTTCCCGGCACACTGAGGAGTGAGATGCCCCTGTAGTTGTTACAGTCTGTGCGGTCCCCCTTGTAGTCCCCCTTTTTAAAGAGGGGGGACCACAAGGGTATCCTTCCAATCCTGCGGAACCCGTCCAGTGGTCCAGACTGTAGTTATGATGTCATGTAGGGCAGTCTGTGCACAAACGCCACCCTCCCTCAGCATTTCGCTTGGGAGATCATCTCTGCCCGGTGCCTTTCCTGGTCTCAGACTCTGGATCGCCTTTAGTACTTCCTCAGTAGATGGCACCTCAGCCAGCCACTCACAGGGGGTGACTTCCTCCTCTAATATTTGAGGCACCGCAGCCTCAGCATGGTCATCTTCACTTTGTCACACGATATTTTCCATGTCGAGGGATTTACCCTCCCCCAGGATTTCACAGAAATGCTCAGCAAATCTGCAAACCTGTTACTGGGGGTCAAAGATTGTGTCACCGTTTTTTCCCCTAATGATGGTAATACGTGTGGCGCTGCAGGTTACTTTTTTGATGGAGTTAAATAGGGATTTGTGATCGCGGGCCATTTAGGCAGACTCTCCTCAGCAACCCGCGACCACCACCCATCCTTGCAGCGCCTCACGGCTCTCCGAATCTCCAAGCGAAGGCTGCGGTAAGCCTCCTCATTCTCTGACATGGGATGCTGTAGACGATTAGAGTGGGCCTGTCGCTTTTTCTCAGCCATCCTGAACACCTCCTCTGTCAGTCAGGGTCTCTGGGGAGGTCTGGAATGCGTACCCAAAGCAGCCATTGCAGCTGCCTGAGTCACAGTCCTAAACCTCGCCCATTTACCCTCGACATCTGGAGGAGTGGGGGATGATGCCAACCCCAGCCGCAAGCGATGATGAAATTCTCGCTTTCAACTTTCATCAGCTAGCTGAGACCAGGCCACCTTAGGTTGGAATGGGGACCTGGGTGTACACCCACCACTGGAGTGGAAGAATGGCAAGCGCATCTTACAGATGACAAGTCGATGGTCAGAGGGCAGATCAGCTCCACGGTAGGTCCTGGTGTCAAGGACATGGGCCCGCATCCGCTGTTCCGTCACGATGTAGTGCAGTAGATGTTCTTGTTTGGACCCGGCATGCATCCATGATGTTGTGTGGATGCGCCAATGCCGGAACAGCGTGTTGGTAATTACAAGCCCATGGGCTGCAAAAAAAATCTAGCAGCCTCCTACCGTTGTTATTGAACTGATCTGGCCCATGCCTTCCAATCACTCCAGACCAGGTGCCAGCATCATGACCAACTCGGGTATTGAAGTCACCCAACAAGATGACTCTATCCCGAAGGGCCACTGTAGCCAGCACCTGTGACAGGTCATAGAAGGCATCTGACTCATCGGCCTTGCCTGCATCTCTCCACGGATGTTCGTCTTCGGTGGGGGCATAAGTAACCACGACCACCACCCCTCGCCTCCGGTTGATGGGAAGGCGAGCCCAAAGTGGCCTGGGGCGTACAGCTTCCCACACCTCACCGCCACAACCCCACGCCCCCTTCATTATTTTGTTCAGAAGAAGAGCCACTCCCTGTCCACGTCTCATGGTGGCAGGAGCCAGAGCCGGTCCACCGGACCTCCTGAATGCCACAGAGATCCAGGCGGTACCAGTCCAGCTCCTGACAGAGGAGTGGCAGCCTCTCCTCCGCAGTGAGCATTTGAACATTCCACGAGGCCATCCGCAATGGCTTTTTGTTGTTTCTGGAGGAGTCCCGAGGGTAAAGATTCAATCTCCTGGCTCCGCCAAATGGGGTTTGGCCAGGAGACGTCATGAACGTCTTTCTCCCCGGGGCCTCTGGCACAAGCTTATTAATTACATCTTTTTTACGTGGTTTTGTGGTAATTTATTGAAGGTGGAGTGGTTACCAGCCCCTCACACCCGTCCAGAGCCCCCATTTGGCTGCTGTGGTGGTCACCAACGCACTGAGGGGAAAAGCCAATTGGAATTGGCCCTCCCCCCCACAGCATTGTCCACGACAGCGTTGCCCGTCCAGCACCACTCCGCAGGACAGGGGCAGAACATGCAAACAGAAAGGTGCACAAGCGTCACCCGCCACGCCACCCTGCACCAACTCGCCCGCTCACGCTGGCACCTGTGCGGTATGGTGAACGGCAAGTAGGAGGAGTGGCGGAACATTTCCATGATGAAGGCCTCCAGCTGGCTCAAGCTGTTGCGGTCGCCCGAGACCGGTGCTCGGTTCCCGCCGATCTTCTCATCTGATGGGGAAATGCGCATGCACATATGGCGTGACTGTGCTGCCGTTTGCTTGGAGCGCATGGGCTGGGGGGGGCAGAAGAGCAACAGCAAGGAACATTCCCTTCGCATTTAAAAATCCCACGCCCGGTCACTTCCGCAAATGTGGCTTCTGTGGCAGCAATAGATGCCATGTCGTCACTGTCAATCATGCGAAGTGTAAAACGGTAATTAAACTGATCCACGCATTTTAAATTAATGTTTTTGGATAGACCTCGAAACGATCGGGACTAATTTCAGTCGTAAGACCCTCAAGCACGCGGCATAGCGAAGCAGCTTAGATCGTCATGCAGTCTGCAGTACAAGCGTTTGACGAAGCGCCGATTAATGTCGTTTGATCTCGCCCACTAGTGTGATTTGAAGGACAACCCTCAGAACCAAATTAAGCAGCGATTGGATACGCGACGTTTCGCTTGATGCCACTTCGAGCAACTTCAAGGAGATCCACGCAGTCAAGGTAATCAGAGAGTGAAGTTCTATTTACGACGAGCTGCGCCGTAATCAACGAAACCAAAATGGTTTATTTTGAAGTTGGGATTCCTGCTGCCAATTTGCCGAGTGCCAGACAGGGAACCGCACCGACGTACAGTGGGATTCGGACTCCCCCCACACCTCCAATTAGCACAGATGGCTATGTACGGTGCGAAAGAAGTTCAACATACATACACACACAAGCTCCCTTCTCTCACCGCGTAACTTTTTGCGCGATCATCACCGGCAGTGGAACGAGACTCCGGCTGCTGTTGTGTGCTTCATTTAGCAAGAATAAGCGACTGGAAAAAAGTCCCCCAAAGACACGAGCCCTTCGATCTACCACACGAGCCACTCAATCTACCACACGAGCGCTACGATCTACCACACGAACCCTTAAATCTATCACACGAACCCTTAGATCTATCACATGAGCCCTTAGATCTACCACGCGAGCCCTTCGATCTACCACACGAGCCCTTCGATCTACCACACGAGCCCTTAGATCTACCACACGAGCCCTTAGATCTACCACACGAACCCTTAGATCTATCACATGAGCCCTTAGATCTACCATGCGAGCCCCTCAATCTACCACACGAACCCCTCGGTCTACCACACGAGCCCTTCAATCTATCACACGAACCCCTCGATCTACCACACGAGCCCTTAGATCTACTGCACGAGCCCTTAGATCTACCACACGAACCCCTCGATCTACCACACGAGCCCCTCGATCTACCACACGAGCCCTTAGATCTACCACACAAGCTCCTCAATCTACCACACGAGCCCTTAGATCTACCACACGAGCCCTTAGATCTACCACACGAGCCCTTCAATCTACCACACGAGCCCTTCGATCTACCACACGAGCCCCTCGATCTACCACACGAGCCCTTCAATCTACCACACGAGCCCTTAGATCTACCACATGAACCCTTCGATCTACTGCACGAGCCCTTAGATCAGGGGTCGGGAACCTTTTTGACTAAGAGAGCCATGAAAGCAAAAAATTTGGAAATTTATTTCAGTGAGAGCCATATAATATATTTTAAAAGTGAATTCAACTAAATGTCAGTATAATAAGCCTCTGAATTTATTCTTTTAAATAATGTTGTTATAACACTCACCATTAATGCGACTTCTGGTGCTGCATGGATTTGCTGATGTCTTTGTAGTCGGGTTGGTACTTGGTGAGGTTAAGCTTCATGCAAGCGTTGAGGCTTTCATCCGTTAAACGTGATCGTAGGTTGGACTTGATGTTTTTAAGATGTGAGAATGACTGCTCACATGCATACGTAGATCCAAACATGGTCAATACAGCAATACTCACACGCTGCAGTGTGTGGTATGTGACAGGAAGCGCGTTCTAAGTTTTGAGAATCAGCTGGTCTTCGGGTTGGAGTTTTTTCATTTCTGTCCACATGTGCTTGCTCGCCAACTCCGCTTTCTGTCGTGTGATTCTTTCCAAATCTTCATTCAGTGACTTGAACTTATTCACCCACATGTCTGAGGCCTTCAGGTCAGCCACTTCTGATTCAAAATCTCTGACGGAGACACCAGGGATGTAATTCAGGTCGGCTGTGTTCAGTGAACACTCGTTTGGATGGGTGATGAACTTAAAAAGACGAGTGTGCTCACGAAATTCTCCAAAGCGTGCTTTGAAGGACTGTAGGAGACTGGATGTGCAGCCAGCTAGCTGGTGGAGATCAAGGTTTTGAATGGGCTCACTTGCTGTGCATGCATCTTTAAATTGGCTCAGTTTTTCAAAATGTAGTAAACGACCTGTTTCAAGATCCGTGATGAAAAGCTCCAGCTTGTTTTCAAAAGCAAATACAGCTTGTTGAAGGGATAACACTGTATTTCCAATGCCTTGCATTTTCACGTTGAGCTGGTTCAGATGTTCAGTCAGATCTACGAGATAGTAAAACTTGAGGAGCCACTCGGTGTCGGCTAGCTCAGGATGCCCGACGCCTTTCATTTCAAGGAAAGTCCGGATTTCGTTCAGGCAAGCCGCAAAACGGCTAAGCACCTTCCCTCTTGACAACCAACGCACATTGCTGTGCAAAAGCAGACCAGGATAGTTATTTACAACTTCATCCAGCAGTGTTTTAAACTGGCGATCATTTAAGGCTCGGGCAACAATAAAGTTGATCACACGAATGACCAGCGACATCACTTCGCCAAACTGCCTGTCACACATCTGAGCACAAAGTGCCTCCTGGTGTATAATGCAATGGAAACTTAGGATGGGTCTATTTTCATGTTCACGGAGAAGCGCCACAAATGCTTTGTTTTTCCCCACCATACACGGAGCACCATCAGTACACACTGAGAGAAGTTTATCCATAGGTAGACTTTTTTCTTGAGCAAACTCCATGAAAGACTTGAATAAATCCTCACCTCTTGTGGACCCTTTTAATGGCAGAACAGCAAGACTTTCTTCGCGCAGTGTGTCACCAACAGCATATCTTGCAATCACGCTGAACTGCGACAAATGGCTCACGTCTGTTGACTCATCCAAAGCCAGAGAAAAGAACGGCGCTGCATTTATGTCCTTCACTTGCGTTTCCTCCACTTTGTTTGCCATCACGATGGTACGATCATGAACAATTCTTGCCGACAGAGGCATGTCTTGTATCCGTTTGATTATCTTGTCTTTGTTCGGAAGATCATCAAAAAGTTCATTGGCTACATCCAGCATGAACGTTTTAGCATACTCGCCATCTGTGAATGGTTTTCCGTTCCTCACTATTGCTAAAGAACCAGCAAAGCTAGCCGAATTATAGTCACCTTGCCGGGTCCATACGCGGAGTTGCTGCTGGCTAGCTTGCACCCTGCTCAGCTCTTGGCACGCTTTCTTTCTGCTGTCTCCCGCAGGGTATTTTGATGCAAAGGTAGCGTGGCGCGTGTCGAAGTTCCGCTTTACATTCGACCGTTTCAACGATGTAATTTTGTCATTGCAAATTAGACACACCGCAGAACCCGCTCTCTCCACAAAGGCGAATTCTTCGGTCCATTCGTCCTGAAATGTACGATACTCGTCGTCTTTTTTTCTTTTCGCCATCTTCTTCGTCGAAGGGTTAGCTTTGAGCTAATGACCGAGCAGACGCAGTCTCAGACTGATTCAAAAGGGGGCGTTTACCTGTTTTACCCAGCAACGGCAAACGTAGGCCAGTATCATCCAATTAAAATAATGGACAATTGCTCCTGCAGCCCTGAACAGGACATGCGCAGTGAAAAATCGATGGATGGATTAAAACAAGTGAGAATATTTTGTTTTATCTGCGAGCCATATGCAATCATCAAAAGAGCCACATCTGGCTCGCGAGCCATAGGTTCCCGACCCCTGCCTTAGATCTACCACACGAGCCCCTCATACTACCACACGAGCCCTTCGAATAAGCGACTGGAGTGCTTCAAATTATCTCATGAACACAGGGCGGAACATATTTTGTTTGAAGAAAGTGGGACACACAGTTGCATTCAATGTCCGAGGAAGACGCTGTCCTCATACAATTCTAGATTTGAAGCGTTCGTGACTGCAAGGATCCATACTCTTTGGTTCTATTCGGTAAAGTCACGTAGGTAAAAAATAAAACAACAAAAATCACGACGTTTCGGCCACAACACAAGTGGTCTTCATCAGGTGAAGGGACCAGACTGTCTCGAGGACAGCGCTGGAGTGAACACAGCCAAGCTCAGACCGCGACCATATCAGAGATATGTTCACAAGGCAATTCAGATTTACAAACACAGACACAATTTCAACCGAGAAGATGGTTTCAAATTAAGCAACCATTGGAAAGATGTTCTAAATCGAACCAAACATTAAACTAATTTTCAATGGTACAGTATATCTTTTTCAAGTAGTGGTACCCCAAACTTTCGCAGCTTCTTAAAATTCCCTTTTCACACCATCAATATGTAAGCTCCCCCCCTCGCCGGCTTGCACATGTTCACCCCCTCTACACCGTTCATCATGCTAAGTCCGCCAATTAAATGCTAATTTTTATACTAATTCCTTTGTCAAGGCACCTTAATTCCTCTCACACAGCTTAAAGGTCGCGGTCTGAGTTTGGCTGTGTTCACTCCAGCGCTGTCCTCGAGACAGTCTGGTCCCTTCACCTGATGAAGACCACTTGTGTTGTGGCCGAAACGTCGTGATTTTTGTTGTTTTATCTTTTACCTACGTTACTTTACCGAATAAAACCAAAGAGTATGTCCTCATACAATCATTTGTCTTCCACTCCTCGACCATGTGAGATGATGAGACGAGCGATCAAAGAGCCTCTCACCGATCTCCTTCTGTAGCGTCTTCTGAATGTCGGGGTAGATGCACAGGTAAATGAGGGACCACGTGATGCCAGCAATGATCGTGTCGAAACCTGTGCCGCACACAGGGGACCCACATTGGGCATTACCGTTACGTCCACAAAGATATACCATACCTGTCAACCCCTTGTCAGTGCCTGCCTTATTACAGACCAATGCAGACCTTATTGGTCACCCCGTGCCCCTTAGAAATGTCAACGTCAATCCTACAAAGTCCCATCGCAAGGGAGAAACACAAACAAAAAGACAAAAAATTCCCCATTTTGAAACGGCCGTACGCCGTATGGACCTGAAAACTCAGTTTTCCTGTACAAGAATACAGGTAAACCGTATGGGTTGACAGGTAAGATATACTCTTTGGTTCTTTCGGTAAAGTCACGTCAGCAGTTGACGTCAGCAGTCCTCCTGCTGTGTTTGTTTCACACCTGATGACGGTTGCTTGTGTCGCGATCGAAATGTCGTGATCTATTATATTTTCCATACCTACGTGACTTCACAGAAAGAAGCAAAGAGTATGGATTCCTTCAGTCACGAAAGCTTCAAATCAAGGTAAGATATACACACACGGTGAGGTGTAAGGTGTGAATTAAACTAGAGCAGAGTGCTCAGAGAATTCAACACATTCGTCAATAGTGACACTCCAAGACCTCGAAAGGAAACACTAACAACAGCGGACGTGTTGTGCAACGATCCACATAAATGTTGTTCGGAGAGGGTGATGCTGAAGCAGCATTCCACCTGCCACTGTGACTTGCGCATCGAATGGCTTTTTTTCCCCTGCCACTATACTCCATCGATCGGCGAGCCAGCCCGTGAGAGAACGCGTCCGGTCGTTGTTTGTGCAACTCGGTGAACGATAGATAACCTTTGCCTGGTTGGCGGTGTAAAATTCGCACGCGCGGTGTTTACCACTCGCACGCGTGGTCACCTGCGGCAAAAATATCCATGACCGTGGCGACCACCTGCTCGTCACTTAACCCAGCCATGATCTTGTCGTCGTTGCGCTCCGCACACAGGCTGATGAACGAGTCCGTGATGTCCCGCACGTGATCCTGTGACACGGGGAAGATACGCGCGCGCGCACAGACCAGCCAATTCTCGTCAGCGGTCGAGTGGCTGTCGAATTTAGTTTCCGCGTTGTTGCGCGGTCGTCCACGTTGGGTCAACGCCGCATTCGTACGCTCTGTGACTCCCCCCCCAGCGTATCGGATTGCGATCGTTGTCTCAATGATTGACTCCTATCCGACGCAGTATGCGGAAACGTCCGTGAAAGTGGAGCCAGGGAATCTGTAGGCACGGCCAACGAGCCTTAGCGTTTTTATTACACGCTTTTATTTAACTCACTCTGTCTGTCGTATCCTCAAATCTTGTAACTCAATTTTGACCCACTTCCCAATGTCGTATCGACTGCAAACTTGGTATACGTATGCTATACTGATGACAATACTATATTTTATCATTAAAAAGAAAATATATATTTTTAAACAATCTTTTTTACATGTTATGTTTCGGCTTGGGTCTAATTGTCCACGCTCAACTCACGTTGGCTGTAAATCATCCCGGTCCCTTACGTTATGGCAAGCTTCGGGGCCACTTCCTGGAGTCGTGGAGTTCTGCCATTACTCGTACGGTACATTCCAATAAAGTATGTTTTAAAAAAAGTATTTTGAAATATTACTTATTAAGCCAAATGTTCAGCTTTACACGTCCCTCATATTGGCGGCAAAATACAGAAATGGAACATAATATTATCAGTCATGATCAGCAATACAATTCGGGTAATTATCCTTGACATCGAATTGCTCTTGACAGTTATCCAAACCATGTTGAGACCTGTTATAGTGTCTGTGTGGAGAAAATATGGACTTCGGGGGGGGGGGGGGGGGGGGGCGTGAAACTCCGGCTAAGCAACGAGGATGTTGCACTTGACAACGTTCATCAACGCCAGAGTGTCTCTCCATCATCAAACCTTCTGGTAGGTGCTGTAATGCTCCTTGATGTTCCCCTCCATGAAAGCCTGCAGCCTGCCGGTGATGGCTTTAAACGCCTTCAAGGACGGGTTGGGGAGGTAGCGCAGGACGGGGAAGAAGTCGAGCAGGGTCCCCGCACCCGTCAGCTGCGAGATGTCCCTGTTAAACTCCACGACGCGCAAGAAGGTGGGGTCCCCGTGCCGGTAGCGCTTCCCGAACACGAGCGCGCACATCACGTTCGCGACGGCGCACGTGATGGAGGGCACGGGGTCGAAGCCGGCCGAGTCTCCGCCGCGGCACACCTGCACCAGCTCGGCCGCCTCCTCGCACACGTGGCGCTCCAGCAGGCACAGGAAGGGCTTGGCCCCCGCGGGCGCCGCGCAGAATTTGCGAAGCGCGTTGCGCGCCAGCTTCTTGCGCGCCTTCCAGCCGTCGTCGTACCGGGGGGAGAAGGAGAGCGTGTTGCCGCCGCCGATGAGCCCCAGCGTGTAGAACGCGGGCCGCCCCGCGAACGCGTCGCCGTGCTTGACCAGCGCCCGCTTCGCGGTGTCCAGGCCGGCGATCACCACCACGGGGACGGAGCCCAGGCGGATGCGGAAGACGTCGCCGTAGCGATCCCTCATCCGCGTGAGCGTCACGTGCGGGCTGAGGCCCACCTGCGGAATGTTGCCGACGACAGGCCACGGGGTAGGCCCAGGGATGGGTTTCCCTTTCGGCGACGGTTGGTTGGAGCCCCGCCTCCTCACGTAGACGAGCAGGAGGCACAGTGCCGAGGCCAAGAGCAGCAGCTCGGCAGTGAGCAACGACTCGGCAGACTTGGGCAAAAACGCGGCCTTCATGGTTTTTTTCTGAGATTGGATGCCTGCGTGGGTCAACACAGATCCACCCCCCCCCCCCCCCCCCCCAAAAAAAAAGACGTCAAAACATCAAGGCAAACTATTTAGTAAAAAATATAATTAAACCTTGGTCAAATTTTAATAAGCGAGCGGCATCTCCTGCATTATTGTGGGGTTACGTTTACATACTGTCATGCAGCCCACGCACTATCAGTCGTACGGAATTCTCTCTGGGGGAAAGGTTAATGCCCGGATCTAGTATGGAAGCCTCTGGAACATTCCCGAAGGTTCCTAGAGGGGCGTGACCAGAGGTGGGGCTTAGCCTCGGAGAAAAGAATATAAGCAGGGGGTACAGCAACGTTAGGGGTCGGTGTTTGAAGATCGAAGAGGAGCTCCCCGTCGCTGCTGCCCCGCCGCCGTCTCCACCTGCCGCCTGGCGGCTCGACCTCCAGCTGCTCAGCCGCTCCACAGCGCGCCGCCAGCCAGCGGTGCGGCAGGGAGTGTGGTGAGCGCCACGTGGCATGGGGCAGCGCGGCCACGAGAGCGGGAGGAGTGGCTGTACCAAGACTTAACAAATATACCGAAGTTACTTGCCGTGTCGGAGCCACTCATTACAAAATGAAGGCTCGCGAGTGTACTTATCACTTGGTTACAGCCCTGTGGTGGAAATTTCATTTTCCTACGGTATGGCAAAATATATCGCGTAAATTTAAACGGTTTAATTGAAAAAAAAAACAGTGTCTGTTGTGCACAGAAGAAAAAAATCCACAATGGATTTGACTTACAGCCACACAATCTTACGAGTGGCAGCAACGTCAGAGTGCACGGCACACAACGGAGATCTTTCTTTGACGAACAACATTGGGCGATCCCTTGCATTACCTCCGCTGCCGTCGATGCTTTAGCAGTGTCAGAGTCCCCGAGGGGTATTTTCTTCGTACACTCTACCGTGAAAATTATCCTGAATAAGCGTCGTTGTGCGCGAGGTTTACGCGCCGCTGCTCCTGCTGCTGCCTGGGAGCTGCTGCAAGAAGAGCGTCAAAGGGGGCGATTGTGGCAGGATGGGAGGCGTTGCTGCACATCGAAGATCGTGCCAGAATCCAGCGATATCAACGGTGGCAGTTTCTCGTAACTTTGTCGTATTTCGCATCGTTAACGTAGTCTTCTTGTGCGCTGCTGGTACCCGTGCAAATAAAGACTGCCTAAGACATCTTCACCTGCTGTGCGACCCATCTTCTCGTCATCGGGAACTTTACAACATCTATCCGACTAGCACGGTTGGCTGGGTACGGTGCGAAAAAGGTGCAACACAGTTTAACACGTAGGGCTTTCGCAACCACGATTATCCGTGAGGTTTTTTTGGGGGGGTTTGACCGCGTGAATATGAACGTGTCGTTAAACCCGCCACGGACAATTAATAAGGGTTGTCACATGAAAACTGTTTGGCACTCCAATACCAATACCCGCCATTCACTGATAAGTGACGGTGACATCACCACGGTGCCTGTGGCCGGCTAGGTGCACTTTGAGGCCATGTGAAGTGTCGAAGGCTCGCTCGCAGGAGGTCTCGGGACAGACCCAGGTGCCATGGGTTGGCCGACTGAGACGACTGGTAGATGCACCACAGCTGCATACCCCCTACTGTGCCAACTTGCTGCCTTTTAGCCACCCGGCGCTCCGCTCGTTGTTGTGAGCGTCGCTCCTTCGCCCTCCGTTGTTGTTGGAGGGCGACTGCCTCCAACTGCCCAGTAGCAGCGTCCTTCACGAGCCTCCTCCACAGAGGCCGATTCTGCCACCGATGGCACCGGTCTTCGGCAAGTCCGCTCAGCTCCACATCCTCCCGTACCGCATCAGCTCCATCTCCTCTCCAGCACGTGTCACACAACGCCCCGCAATATCCTGAGTCTCAATTGATAACACTTGCCTTCGCGTGATATATCGAGGCTAATATTATCAAGGTGGGTTCCCTTGTTGACAAATGCCCTCAATAAACACCAACGTGCCCAATCGAACATTCACGCTGCCGTCACCGCTCAAGGCCAGGAAACCTCATGGCATAACAATAAACTCCTGCATTCTGTACCACAAACACACGTCTTCGTTGTATTGCCCGCGTCCAACTTCAGTTATGGAAACGTGATGCTTGGCCATTGAGGCGGGGAGAACATGTGCAGTAAGTATGTATGCACCTATATGTTGAACTTCTTTCGTATGGTACTTAGCCAATCGTGCTATATTGGAGGTGCGGGGGAAGATCAAACTAAACAAAGCGTTTATAAAGAAATGCGTTTTCAATCTGGATTATTTAAAAGTGCACAGCTCCCCCAGTGCGTCTGCCTCACAATTTAAGAGACATATACCGGCGATCGCACT